AGAGAAAGAGAGAGAGAGAGAGAGAGAGAGAGAGAGAGAGAGAGAGAGGAGAGAGAGAGACGGGAATGCGACCCGTACACACGCCCCTACTGTTATGATCGCGTCTTGCGCCCCTCGTCTTAACTGCAACAGCGCCGACGTAGAGACTAATCGATGCATACTAATTTTGCAATTTATTTCTACAGCCGAACACGTTTTTTTCTTGATTTTTATATGATTCCCACCTGATACCCGCTCGCTGCGGCATTTCTCTATACGCGTGCTCACAGCACGTCTGTCTGTCTCTCCTTACCCAACTCTTACCTGTAGATCCGCATACAATGCACACACGCGTGAGTGCGCGCGCGCACGACGGCATGTTATACACACAACCCTCTAAGTCTCTTCGACGCTATCATTAAGGAAAATGGTAATGAGGCCCTTGCTATTTCCCGTAAACGCGCGCGCACCAGACACCGCCGCTAGATACAAGCGAAAACTAATGGTGTTAGACGTAGCGGCAGGAAAGGCGGCGCGCTATCTGAATGGGTTGCGTTGAGCGGACGTTTCTAATGAGGTGTGATAATGGAGATGACAAGCCGCGGACGGGTGAAATTATTCCTATGTGTATTGTTATTTTTGTGCGAAGAAGAAAAGTGATTGATGCTCGGACGTGCGTGCGTGCGTGCGAGCGTACGCACGCGTGTGTGTACGCGAGAAAGTGTGAGAGACACACACGCGCGCGCCCATATATAAATTGTTTATAACATTTATTCATTTATTTAATTAATCATTTATTTATTTATTCATTTGCCAAAACTATTGCCATTATGGTGCCGCCCTACGAACCGTTCTTTGCATGCGTGCGCGCAGGCGTGGGCGCGTGTGCGCGTGTGGCAAAGCGTGCGCGTGCATGTATGTGAGTGTATGGCTGCATGTGTGCGTGAGTAAGAGACGAAGAAAGAAAGAGAGGGTGGCGATAGACCTGTATAAGGCGTTAAATAGACGGTGAAGGCGATAGACAAAGCGAACGCGTCAGAAACTGTAGAGACATAAATATTTAGTATATCGAGACGTGAATATAGATAGAGAGCAAACGAGAGCAGAGACACAGAAAGTGAGTGAGAGAGAAGAGAGAAAACAGAACAATAGCAGCAGCAAGAGAAAGATTAAATAATAAATAGGAATAGCAAAATATACACGAGTCGTCAATAGCCAAAAAGGGAACGATGACCTCTATTCAAGCATCGATGGTAGATCAGTAACCCATGGCGTCTAACGTTTTCCTTGTCTTTTTTCTCGTTTCTTTGCTGGAACTCAGAGAGGACCAGGGGAGACATCGACCTATCGAGCAACGAGGTGACGTCACCGTGTTCCGGAAGTCAGGGGGCAGGTGAAGACGACCAGCCTGGTAAGTGTACACGCCACGCTAACGCGCCAATAGCATGTAAGGAGGCGTGTCCTTTTAAGCCGCCACGCCCACCGACCTCATCGGTTACAGTTTTTACCGATCACAGGGTTCTTTCTACGCTGAGAAAATTTTGCTACACTTGTTTCTCGTGTATTTTATGTGAGCGAAACATGGTTGTGCGTAACGATGGCACATCATGCCAGTTTTCTAAGCGCCGGTGAGGGGCACTCTTTCTTTAACAACGACATCTGATTTAAACTACATTAGAGATCAGCGGCGAAACGGAGTACATCAGCAATGGATCAGAAATATACCAGCAGTAGATCAGTAATAGATCAACAGTAGATACGAAATAGATCAGTTATAGCTCAGCAATAAATCAGTCATTTATCAGCAGATCAGCATTTGATGAGCAATAGATTAACAATAAATCAGCAGTTAATCGGCTGAAGATCAGTGGTATATCAGCAGTAGATAAGTAATAGATCAGTGATAGATCGTCAATAGATCAGTGATCGATTGTCAATAGATCAGTGATAGATCTTTAATAGATAAGTAATAGATCTGCAGTATATTAGCAAAATATCAGCAGTAAATTAGCAATAGATCAGTAATAGATCAGTAATATATTAGCAGTATAACAGTCTGTCGTCTCATCACATCTGCAAGTCGGTTTTTACAGGCTAGCAAAGCGGTGCTCAGTTTTGCATGTAAAAACCAAAATATCAAGTTTGTAAGCTGCCTTCTGTCACGCCTAACCGCCGTGTATCTCATCAACTCCATAGCTTGTTACTTCCCCCTCTCTCTCTCTCTCTCTTTCTCTCTCACTGTCTCTCTCCCTCTCTCTCCCTCTCTCTCTCTCTCTCTTTCTCTCTCACCGTCTCTCCCCCTCTCTCCCCCTCTTTCCCCCCTCTCTCTCTCTCTCTCTCTGTCTGATTCTCTCATTCCATCTCCTGTTTCCACGGACATGTGTGCAATTAGCATTTTCTATGTGCAAATGCTTTACGATCCAGATGTGTGAATAAGAAAGTAAAAACTGGAGAGTAGCGGCTCGTTGCTGTCTTCATGGTGAGTTGGTCGGTTAGCTTGCAGCCAGCTGAACATTACAAGCACGACCGTACACGTGGTCTACAGTCATACACCGAGCCCCCATATACGATAGCTCATTAGGTTTAGTCGAAATTCGAAATTCACAAGTCAACGTCTAAAGAGCTTTCGTGATCAATAAGACGTGTTGCTTTTGACGCCATGGTGAGCAATTAAATTCCGGATTTTATTCGTTAGTTGTACTTGAATTCGGAATTAGAATGAGCACTCTGGGCGTACGTGCATGCCAAACTAAATCTTGAAAACCTCTGTATCAAAACGCCGTGGGATAGCACTCTGATTACATGAATAGAAAATCTTCTTTTGATATACTCAGAATTTTGCACAGGGGAGAGATAGTGTATGGCAAGCATTTTGTATCATAATTCGAGAAACCACGGTTCCTCGCACGAAACCAGGTTTCGTGCTCACAAAACCTAGTTTCTTGCTCAAGAAACCAGGGTTCTTGCCATAAAACTAGGTTTCATGGCATGAAACCTGGTTTCTGGCCCTATAACCGCAGTTATAGCTGGAATCTTAGTTTCTTGAGCAAGAAACTAGGTTTGGGGAGCAAGAACCTAGGTTTCAGCAAGAAACCCACTTTCAACCGCGCCATTTGTATCATAATTCGAGAAACCACGGTTCCTCGCACGAAACCAGGTTTCGTGCTCACAAAACTTGATTTCTTGCTCAAGAAACCAGGGTTCTTGCCATGAAACTAAGTTTCATGGCATGAAACCTGGTTTCTAACCCTATAACCGCAGTTATAGCTGGAATCTTAGTTTCTTGAGCAAGAAACTAGGTTTTGGGAGCAAGAACCTAGGTTTCAGCAAGAAACCCACTTTCAACCGCGCCATTTGTATCATAATTCGAGAAACCACGGTTCCTTGCACGAAACCAGGTTTCGTGAGCAAGAAACTATTTTGAGAGCAAGGACCTAGGTTTCAGCAAGAAACCCACTTTCAACCGCGCCATTTTGTATCATAATTTGAGAAACCATAGTTTCGAGCGACGAAACTTAGTTTCGTCGTTGCTAAGGCCCGTATCTAGGATTCGTAATCCCGAGCGTGACGTCAGCGTAGAAATACTATAGAAGTAACATACTAGTTAGGCTAATTAATTAAATATTGTATAAATAAATTAAATATGCTGTGCTATTAAATGTATGAGCGTGTACGTGCGTGTATCTGCGTGTACCCGCGTGCACGTGCGTGTACCCGCGTGTACGTGCGCGTACCCGCGTGTACGTGTGTGTACCAGCGTGTACGTGCGTGTACCCGCGTGTACGTGCGTGTACGTGCGTGTACCCGCGTGCACCCGCGTGTACGTGCGTGTGCCCGCGTGTACCCGCGTGTACGTGCGTGTACGTGCGTGTACCCACGTGTACGCGGGTACACGCACGTACACGCACGTACACGCGTGTGCACGCGGGTACACGCACGTAGACGCGGGTACACGCACGTACACGCTGGTACACGCACGTGCACGCGGGTACACGCACGTACACGCTGGTACACGCACGTACACGCGGGTACACGCACGTACACGCACGTACACGCACGTACACGCACGTACACGCACGTACACGCGGTACACGCACGTACACGCACGTACACGCTGGTACACGCACGTGCACGCGGGCACACGCACGTACACGCTGGTACACGCACGTACACGCGGGCACACGCACGTACACGCACGTACACGCACGTACACGCACGTACACGCACGTACACGCACGTACACGCGGGTACACGCACGTACACGCACGTACACGCTGGTACACGCACGTGCACGCGGGCACACGCACGTACACGCACGTACACGCACGTACACGCACGTACACGCACGTACACGCTGGTACACGCACGTGCACGCGGGCACACGCACGTACTCGCACGTACACGCACGTACACGCGGGTACACGCACGTACACGCACGTACACGCTGGTACACGCACGTGCACGCGGGCACACGCACGTACACGCACGTACACGCACGTACACGAGCGTAC